AGAAAAAGAAGTCACTTGACCATGTGCACAAACTCTAAGACCTTGAGAGGGAGCACTCCAGGTGAAGAACCCTGAAGTGTAAGCTCTGTGGTGCCACAATAAATCCTCCTGTGAAGCTGGGCCTTGGGGAAGGTGAGGATAGTCCTCAAAGTAGAGGAAAAAGGGAAGGGCTTTCCAGGCAGAGTGACCTGCACAGGCAAAGGAGCAGGAAAGTTCATGTTCTGTTAGGTGAGTCTGAGGAGCTCAGTGTGGCTAGAGTGCAGAGGAAGGGGGAGGAAGGGATGGACAAATGGGCAGAGGGGAGAAAAGCAACTGAAGGTAAAGCTTCAGGGATAGAGGCCAAGGGCAGGTTGAAAGGGACGTGTACAGGTGGGGAGACCTGAAATTTAAGCTTCATTGATATCACAATAAATCCAGAGACAGGCTGCCTAGGGTCCTACCCCGGAACAATGATTTTTACAAGAGAATGATTTTAAGATGCCAGTCCTCTTGGTGCAGACAGAAATGGCGAGAGGCAGAACCCAACAGCTGGGGTCTTGACACCCTTTCCCAAGGCCATGGCCTCCACTAAAGGAGTCCTGTGTCCTATGGCGGTGGTGGGGGCAGTGCTGGGCCACCTCATCCCTCCCAAGACCCTGAGGCCATCCACATGCTGACTCTTTCTGCCATTTGGTGTCCATACCTAGAGGCCCTGTAAGTTCCTCAAACTCCGTATGGTGAACACTAAACTTTTTTCCTTGCCCTCCAATCTTGTCTCTGCTCCAGGTGCCCATATCTCTGTGTCATTCCCCAGGCCAGACACTTGGAGAATCGACCGTGGCCCTCCTCCCCTCCCACTCCCCACACTGGATCAGCAGTGGGGAATCTAGCAGTCCTGGAAGTGGACCTCTTCTCCCCTCTCCCTGCACCCTCTCATTTCGTGGCACTATCATTTTTCATGGATCCTCTTCAGAGGGGTTTGGCTTTTCTCCTTTTACTCTACCAAATCCAAATGTAAATCTCACCAGGCACTGCTGTCAAGGGCTCCCAGTAGCCTCGCTCTGAAACCCAGGTCCCTTACCCTGGCACTTAAGGCTCTTCATGATCTGACCTCTGACCTCTGTCCAACCTCATCAGCCTGTCCCCACCTCCTCCCTTTCCACCTGCTGGTCCAGCTTCTTACCACGGATCACAATGCAGTCCCTCACCAAACCCCTCAGGACTCAGCTGCAGCCTCACCTCCTCTCAGAAGCATTTCCAGATCCATACTGGCACATATGTCTATGGCCCCTTGCTCTGGGCAGGGTGTCTCCCCATAACCTGTGACACTCCGGAGGATTTCCAGGCCCGACTTGCTCCAGTCAATCCCTCTGAGCTTACTCCTCTGTTAAATGGGACCATACCCACACCGAAGGGTATGAGAATTGTAATAGTGAACTGAGGGAAGAGCTCTGTACGCTTTGTTTCTTTCAGTCCTCACAGCGCCCAGAGAGACAGACACTACTATTAGCGCCATGTAACTGAAGGGAACCGCGGTCCGGCCCTGCCTAGCTCGCCTCTGCTGGGCAGACCTCCCCGGCCCGGCCTCGGCCTCTCAGGGCTGCCGGTTTGGCTGCCGCCCCTCCTCCGTCAACACTGTGAGGGCAGGGATGGCGCCTGTCACGCACTGTGTATCCCAAGGTCCTAGAACTGGGTCTGGCACACAGTGAGTGCCTGGCAAACATTTGCTGACTGCAGTGATCCCTGAATGAAGACCCCAGCATGGATCCCAGCTCCTGAGTCCTCGCCCACTGAGCAGGATTTTGTTGGGGAACGTGCTTGGTACAGCACCCGGCACAGAGTAGGTACTCAATAGTAGCTGCTGCTTTGGTTATGCAGGAGAGGAGCGGGCTGCAGGAGGACACAGAGGAGGAGGAAAATACTTTTAAAACAACTGCTTCCGTGAGTCTCTCCAGCAGTCGGAGCTACCCCGCGGTGGCCCAGGTCCGAGTCCTCCCAGTGCCCAGTCCAGGGTCGTCTCCAGCTGTCTCCGGGGAGAATTTGGGAATGAACAGGGACAGTGGAGGTCAAGAAGGGAACTCCCGTTTTCCCTTCCCCTCCCGGGAGGAAAAGAGATAACTGCCGCCGCTCACGGGCGCGGGCGCGGATCACAGCCGAGCTCATGCTGCCGTGTCCTGGAGTCACACTCTTCCGGCCCGGATGAGTGGCGCTGGGCGGGCCACCGCCGGTCTCTGCGCCTCGCTCTTCCTGACTGCGCAGTGGGCTGCGAGCGGGGCCCACGGAGGGAGAGGGACCTGGGAACCCCACTGCGCCCCCCCCCCGAACCCCCACCGCTCGCGCGGAGCTGCAGGCGCGCGGTCTCTGAGCGACCTCTGCCAGCCGCTTCTCTGGGCCCAGGTGCACGCGGGAGGGTGTTTCCGCAGACGTCCCACCGTGGGCCAGCGGAGACCGCTCCACGACAGGAGGAGGAGAAGGCCCCGGGGCCGTGGAGAGGAGACCCACGGGGCCCGGACGGCTGGACAAGTCCCGGGACCACTCTGGACCTCAGTTTCCCCCTCTGTAAAATGGGGCTGGTAACAAACACTCACGGGATTCCCGCCTCCCTCCGCCCCGGGGGTTTGCTGTGAGGATGAACCAAAACGATAATCTTGAAATCTGCGAAGCTCCAGATGTTCTGGGGAATGAATAACTCGGGCCACCGGGCGCCCCCCTCGGGTCTGGCCTGAGCAGGAACCGAGGACCTGGGGGACCCACTTCACCTTGGATGCGGTGGGGCCGAGAGGCCGGGGATGGGCCGCTGTGACGGCCTGGCTGAGGCCGGGCGGCTTCCGAAAACCTGGAGGGGGCGAGGGGCGTAGAGAGGCCGCGCGGAGGCCAAGGGCAGGAACGGCCGCGCTTCCGGAGGCTCCCGGCGCTTCCTCCCGCCTTCCTCTCTCCTTTCTAACTCTTCCTTGTTTCCTTTCTCTTCTCTCCCTCTCGTTTCTTAACTATCCTCACTGCCTTCCTCGCCCCTCTCTCTTGCCGCGTCTTTCTCCTCTCGCTCCTTCTCCCCCCACTCCCATCTCATCGTCACCCTAGCACTGTATAACCAAACAGCCAAACCCCCTTTCCAATTAAAGTGGAATTAAGCAACTCAATCAAATTAGTTCCCTATTAAAGCCCTTCTTTATTAAACCGTTTTCTTGTCCTGCTATTAAGTTTCACCGCCTGGCGGAACTCGAGCCGGCCCCAGAAGTTTACCTTGGGATGTCGCCGGGCCCAGCCTCGGGGAGGGGGCACCCTGTTTCCTGGATTAGGGGAGTCGCCCTGGGGGGGGGGAAGCACTGGAGGTTGGGGGAAGGGGTCAGCGCAGGAGCCGCTAATTTGCTCAGCTCCGCGTAAGGAGGGTCGGAAGAGTGCGGGATGAGGTCTGGCCTGAAGGCGCGTCCTCACCGCCCCCACCATCCAGAAGTAACCCCCAGGCCACAGGCCCTGGCGGAGAACTGTTGGAGCCATCCGTCCGCAGCCGCCACCCCCGCTGCTGTTGGTTCCAAACCTCTCCGAGAAGGGAGGCGCTCACTGTGTGACCCGGGCTGCGCCCAAAGTCGGGGACAGTGGGAACTGAGTCCCCAACATCTCAGGATCCCTGAGAAGGCTCGGCCCGCGATCCGGGGACCGAGAGCACTGACAAGGCGACCCCACCATAACCTGCGGGCCACAGCTGGGGTGCACAGGGTCCCCGGTGCGCAGCGGTTCTGAGCCGCACGCCAGGCGCCACGGGAACTTTCCTCTCCAGGTGCCCCCAAGGGTCGGGGAACCGGCGGGACCTCGGCCAAGCTTCTTTGGCAAGACGGCCCGAGCGGCAAATCAAGACCTTTCCCTCCCGGCCGCCCGAGGAGCGGGACGGGATTCGGTGTTGTTTTCTTAGAAAATAACATTTATTTCTAGCTCATATCTATGCAAAGAAAGCACAAAGTGAGCGGTTCTCTGCAGCAGCGTTCCCCGCTGCCGGCCCTGCGGCCAGGGCGTTTGGTGAGTCCCGGGAGGCGAGGATGGGCCCGAGCGGGCCGTTCTGGCTCAGTCACACGTCGCTCTGCTCCTGCCGCAGCGCCAGCGCGCACCTTGACCGCTCCTTAGGGAGACACCGGCCGCAGGCAAGAGGGGCGGGTGGGCAGGATTCATCCCGAGTTTACAATATATTTAATCTATAAAACCTAAGTACAATGCGCGCATAGTCTAATTTTTTTCCGTTTTGTCCTTTTTTCTTTTTGCTTGTTTTTGAATGTTCTTCACGTTAATACCGAGTTCACCTACAGATTACAATTAATAACTTAGAATTCCATTTTATAACATTATACACTGGCTTGAATATATATATGTATAGATTATATATAGATTTATACATATATAAAAACTCACACTGCACCAAGGAAACCCATGCTTATCGGCGTAAGCAACAAAGAGCGACAAATACCGCAACGAGGAAAGTGCACCTTAGAACTTGTTTCCTTTTCTTCTTTCTACAATTGATATCGATATATGTGTGGCCCAAAGACTCGACTCAGTGCCAAGAGATTTATACATCCTAATTTATATTTGTTAGAGCGAAATTCTAAAACTGTTTAAAGGGAGACTGGGGAGACACAGGAGAGACTCTCGGATTATCCTGCCGTCCACTGGAGAGCACTGGCGGGCGGGATGAGCGCAGCTAAAGGAGCGGCAGGAACTTGCGCTTCGGGGAAGGCCTCTGAATTCTCATGAATTCCCCGCCTTTTCAAAAAGGGGCTGGGGGAGCCTTGGGGAGGGGCCGGGGAAGGGATAAGCATCCAGGCTGCGAACCCCCTCCGAGAACACCTGCATCTGTAGCTGCTCGGCTTTGCTCAGCCCTCCCCGCCCACTGTCCAGAACAAAACCCCAAAACCACCTCGGAGTGGGAGGACCCCAGCCAGGCGCACAGAGCGCGCAGGGCCAAGAAGGGCCGGCTCGCGGGGACAAGGCTGGGGCTCCTGGTTGGAGTCCGCCCGGCTGCCGGGCCCCTCGCCCTACTGCTTCTCAGGGGCGCCGTTAACCATTGGCCCGTACAGGCCGCCGCCGTAGGTCGGCTCCTTGTGCACAGCCGCGGCGGCGGCGGCCGAGCGGTCGCGCATGAGATCGCTGAAGGCGTAGTCCATAGGCGGGCGGAAGCCGAGCGTGGGCACCAGCCCGGCGGTGGAGTACGGCGCCATGAAGGCC